TGAACGAGGACGAGCTGTACACCAGGTCCTTGGAGATCGAACCTCGGCCGTCCAGGCTCAGCATCACGACGCTGTCGAACTCGCCTCATCACGGCGGAGGTAGCAGCCAATGACGGCGGTCCAGCGCCAAGAGGAATAAAACCACGTGCTTCAAGTGAACGATCGATGCGACTGACACCCGCCCGCGGGCGACGGCGGCGAGCGAGTGCGATTGTTTTCTAAAATAATAATAAATTATAGTAAATAATTACCTCGCTTCACTACAACTGCGGCAGTATAGTACAATATTATCAATCGTACGGTGACGAATGCCTAAATCATTAGCTGCTATAGTCACTGCGCCCGGTCGAGGGTGCTGCAGAAATAGACAGACAGAGAGGCAGACACAGAGAGGAGGATCCTGTTCTCTAGTCTCCGACGACAGTCGTCATCGTTTCTCATCACCCCAACACGGTCGCCACTGTTTTCTCGCCGCCGCCGCCCCTCTCCCACCGGAAGGAATATTATTATTATTATTATATCTATTCCCAGTGGCGAGCGAGTCTTCCGCGCTCGATCAGCGAATACAATATTATAATAATTTATTATATATTTAATTATATAATGTCCTTCCGGCGGGGCCGTCCCGCTCAGTTTACGTATATGCACAACGAGTAGATAGGTAGGTAGTAGGTACCTAATACCTATTATACATTTCCGCTTGGCCAAGCTGGCTCTTCTGCGCCACCGCTATCATAGCTGCTTCAAAATTTTTAACGCGTTATCTAAATCGAGTGTATTCACGACTTTCGTGTTCTTCAATCTATATCACTTGGCGTATATTCACAACGATGATGACATAATAATATTATGTTATTTTAATATATCATCGTCGTGTCATACTTATACGATTTTTTTCGTCTTGACTTTTTTTGTCTTCGAATTTTTTTTCGTAATTTTGTCTTCCAGACGTTGGGAAAAACCACTGGCACTGGCACTAGCGACGATAGATTTATTATATTATAATACGTCGTCGTACGCTAACAATAGTATATTGTGCCACATAGGCATTTTTATCCGATTCATAGACTTTTTTTTTCTGTTACATTTTTTTTTTTATATACAGACACGGCTTTCCATATGTGTACCTATATAATAGACATTGTTCGTTATGCGATTCGGATGTAAAAAAAAAATAGAAACAGCACGTACGAGCAATATATATTATACACATGAAGTCGTGTGACACTTGTATGATTGTTATAATTTAGGTTTTATATATTATTATAATCAGTTGTCCGATATACATTTTCAAAACGTTATCGGAAATGTGTTGTACTTACCCGTCTCGTCGTCGACGACGTCACAAACCGAAGGTGGTTGGCAAGACGGAAGTACAAAAAATAAAAATTATCGTACTGAACAATCAAAATATTATATTTTAGACAGTGAAACAATTTATCATCCTTAGAATAAAATAGAATAGTGTAGTGTGCGGCCCATCGTTTCCGTGTATCGGACTTCGACTTTGATTATATCTCTTTGGTAGTAAATTCTTAGTGAGTAACCTTCCCCAGTTGGGGTCACCGCGTATACCACGGTATACGCGGTATTAGATTTTTTATAAACGGTCACGAATCGAAACATGTGCCGAAATATGTACCTTCTTGCGGTTTTTGCTCAGACAATTAATATATAAAAAAAAAATACGTTTTTTTCCTACTCGAATCACATGCGACAGATCACTTTTCGATTGGTTTTGATAAAATTACCGAAACTTTGTGTGTGTGTGTGTGTGTGTGTGTGTGTGCGTGAGTGAATGTGTGTGTTGTTTATTTCCAATATTTATATAATTTATAGTTACCTATACGTACGGATGTGTTGAATCGTTAAAGATATAATATATAAATATATATTTTTTGTTTTGAGAGTCGTCACTTATTATAATATAATAATAATATTAACTATTAATATGTAAGGAGATGCATTCGGTTATTATTATTTATATTTTATTCATTCGTCGGTCACTCGTCGGTGTGTTGCACGACATTTTGACGGTTATTGGCTATCGTTATGAACACAATATTAATATTGTGCACTAAACGCATAGAAAATGATTATCAATACAACAAGTCCAGTGGGACTATCGAGTGACGACGAATAGGAGAAACATATTTTATTTTTCTAAACTATAAGTTGTATACCGTTATAAGACTTACCTATGCCCAAATTTTTCCCAATTGCCAAATTTTTCTCATTGACTATTATACGTAACTAATGAAATGAATATATGACAATTTATTTGTGTGATACGAGTTTCTTTCATATTTACTCTTCTTTTTCTATATATACTATCTCTCGCCATCGCATTATATATATATTAAACTATGTATGTATAATGTACATATATACAAAGTTTTTAATATATTACATTATTGTGTTTTAACTATATTATATGTACTTGATTCAATGATTTTAATGTAAATTCGTTAGTTTGTTGATGTAATTTTTTTCTTATTTTGTTATTTAAATATTTATTTTCTGTACTATAGGTGTAACAATAATAATAAATTTAAACTATGTAACACGTTCAATCGCTATATAAAAAAAAAAAAAAAAAAAAAAACTGTATAATATTACATTATATAAATATTTATTTTTCTCATAAATGACAATCACCTATAGACGCGGTACCTATATATATAAACATAAATATGTGTACCTACTGATTGATTAGATTACATGGTTTTAAAGGATAAATATAATATATGAATCATTGTTACCTATATATTATATTATTATTATTATAATGTTTCAAGAAAAAAAAATATGTTTAACGAATTTTCTTACACTAACATATCGTCGGTGGAGTTTGATCTCTGTTTTAAAGGCTTAAATTGTATTATATAATATTATAATATTTCATTATTATTATTATTATTATTATTGTTGTTGTTCTTATTATAATATCGTATTAATATAGACTTAAATGAAACAAAACTGGACGCTTAAAAACATAATAATATTAAGAGGATGTATCGCATGTGTAATATTGTGATGTGCTTCGATCACTGAAATGCTGATTATGTTTTCTTGCAATCTTGCTGTCTAACGATATGATAATATTATTATGCGAATGGAGATTTTTTTTTTGTCACTCAGTCGTTATCAAACTTTTATTTATATTATCATTGATACTGTGATCAAATTTTTTTCTCATGATCTAACTTGAAGAGTTTGTGTGTGTGTGTGTGTGTGTGTGTGTGTGTGTGTGTGTGTGCGTGCCGCCATTTTAAAACCGTCTGCAGTTAAATGAGTAAATTTCAAATATGTGCCAAAATGTTATGATATTTTATGTTGTGATTTTTCAAGAAACTTCTATACAATTCCATAAAGATTTCTTATTATATAATATTATATTATAAATACTTATATAGGTGCAAGTGGGGGGGGGGGGGTTCAAAAGTGAGAAAATCAGTGCGTTTATTAATATTAATGTTCGTTGTGGTGTACTTAATTATTATGCGTAATGCGAGTAATATATATATATATATATATACATAATACCTATATATATATATATCATATTATATTGTAACGTAATAATGATAATAATAATAACAATATCGATTCGTTGTAAGTCTCTATCGTGTTTTTCCTTTTTTTTTTTGTGTTCAATTCAAATATGATTAAATGCACCCGTTTGGTTTATTTTTGTTCTACAAATCTTAGTATATAATAATATTATTATCTGTTGTTAATTATATATATATTATATTATAATAATTATTGTTGTATCGATTTCTTCGTAAATATTACGACAAAGAGTTTATGTCATTGTTCAATAAGGTATTTCGGTTGTTATTAAATTTAATGATCTATACATACATTATTTTACGTGTTTTTTATCCGTTTATTACGCACTGTCAATACGTCATTAGTGCTTAACTAAACGTTTTTTTTTTCCAGTTACACATAATAATATTATGGTTACATAATATTATTGAAATGTTCTGCATAATATGAATTTTCCAAATATTGTGAAGATTGGACGTAAAATACTTTTTGTTATGAGCCTATTTTCAGTGTGAAATTATTAATTATTTTTTGAGTTACGAGCCAATATCAAGAGCTCTTGACAGTGCTGATATCAACATCATAATTATTCGTATTATTCACGATCGTTGATCAGTCCGAAATCAACTGGTGGTTTGAAATTGACAGGAAAATGGAAATTATATCCTATACCTATAGGTGGTACGTCACCTTCATTCATAATTAGTAATAAAACGATAATATAATAATATTATTAAACAGTAATAAAGTATTATTGTGGTGATTTTGGATACGATTTGTTTGTCATTTACTGTCAGTATTTATTTTAAGAATGAGCTTTAGTATTATGTATTATGTTTGTACATCGTTTTTCTTGTTATTTGAAAGCTTTTTAAGTAGTTTTTAAATGCTGAAAGGAACGAGAAAATTAAAAAGAAAACTGATTACAAAAGTCACATAAATGTTGATTATTCATTGCCCATTAGTTATCGTTACACAAGGAACGACAACAAAATATTCACATGATATAATATAGGTACCTACCTATAGTTTATATTTCTCCACTTATTTTGTCTATTTTTTAGATAAAAAGTCTTAGAAAGGACAGAGGACTATAGACCCTAGTGCTAGTGTCACGAGTCCGACCGAGACATGCCCCGAAAATGTTCATTTGATAATCATTATAATCATTAAATTTTATTCAATATATTTTATCATTTAATGATTTATATTACACGCCTTTCTGAGATATCTCCCGTTTTTGCCAATCATAATATTTTATTTAACAGTGAGATTTTAAATGTTTAAAATATTTAAGAAATAAAACAAGGCTGATTTATTTTATAAATATTGAAATTATAATTTTTTTTTTTTAAATAAAATAAAATAATTATTAACAGTTTTACAAGTTAACAATGGTTAGTTGGATTCAATTGTTATTTAATAACAAATAAGTACCTACAATTTTATTTATCGTTTTGGTTGGACTTCTCTCGAACGGTGTCCTTCAGCTGCTCTTGGATCTCCTGTAACGTCTTGCCCTTCGTCTCGATTGCGTACTTGTACGTGTATAACGTGCCGGAAAAATTGACGACGGTGAACAGCAAGAACATGGCATGGAACCCGTAGCGGTTGGACACGAACAGGAACATCTTGTTGGTGACGAACGAGCAGAAAGCCAGCGTGATGGAAGCGATGGCCGAGCAGTGCGACCGGATGTTGACCGGGAACATCTCGCCGAGGAACACGACCGGCACGAACCCCACGCCGGCGCCGAACATGACCGCGAACGACCAGTGGCAGAGGTACGGGAGCCACTCGAGCTCGGTGGTGGCAAAGTCACTACCGTCGCCCCGGGAACAGTAAAAGAACACGGCGAACATCAGGGTGACGACGGCCATGCCCGCCTCGGAGAACAGTAACAGCGGTTTCCGGCCCACCCTGTCCACCAGCGCGACGGCCAGCAAGTTGACTACGGCCAGGGTGACGGCGAACAGCATGACCGACTCGTGCCTGTTCAACAGCGGCCCGTTATCCGGCAGTATGAGCGCCGAGTAGGCCATCAAGCAGCTGATGCCGCCCGCCCGCTGCGTGGCGCACGCGGCCACCACGATGGCCAGCGCCCGCATGTCCTTCCGGCTGGCGAACAGCTCCTGGAACGTGGAACGGTTCTCCATCTCCTTGCGCACGTTCACCTCCATCAGGTCCAGTTCGTGGACCACGTCACCGCCGCCCCGGAACCACTGCAGGCACGCGGCTGCTTGAGGCCGGCGGCCGCGCTTCAGCAGATAGTACGGGGACTCGGGCAGCCAGACGGCAGCGACCAAGAACAGAACTGGCACGACGGCGGACACGGCGTTGAGCGTGCGGTACGACACCAACGGGCCGATCACCGCCTCCATCAGGAAGCCAAAGTGCAACTGAAGGCAGAACACGCTTCCCAATGCTCCGCGGATGGCGGGAGACGCTATCTCGCCCAGGTACACGGGCACCACCGTGTACGACATGCCCTTGCCCATGCCGGCCAGCAGGCGGGCCGTGTACAGCGCCCAGGTGGTGGGCACGAACAGCGTCAGCGCCCACGAGACGATGAACAGCGGCCCTAGCACCACGGTGCTGGGCTTCCGGCCCATCCAGTCCATCAGGTGGCCGGCCAGCAGCGGGCTGATCACGTTGCCCAAGTCCATCGTGGCCACGATCCACGACAGCTCGTCCATGGTCGCGTTGAAGTCCGTTTCGTGCTTGACGAACTTCTCCACCACCGAGCTTGGCCACCCCAGCCACATGCCGCTGATGAATATCGACATGGTCGCTGCGGGAACGGTCATCGTTATCAAAATATAATCCATTTCAATAAAAGGCAATGTGTGTGTGTGTGTGGGGGGGGGGGGGTATACGTGATCCACAAAAATGTCAGTGGCACTCACGATTCTGAAATTTGGTACTCAGGTAGGTAATATCTTATGCCTGAGAATGTGCACCTCAAAGCCAAATTTTTAATTTTGTTTGTTTGGATAGGTTTTGCAGGGTTTGCCATTGATTACAGAAAATAAAATAGTCATTACAATCGAAAATGGGTATATTAATTTTAGACCTGTTTTTATTTGGTCAAAACCTCACATTTTCCAGCATTTAAAACAGGGTAAATCCACAGGCCTTTAAATTGCCACGGATCGGACAGTACCCATAGTATAATTATTATCATCGTGTGGTTGTTACCGTATTATAACTTTTGTAAGTTTGGAGCCATCTGCAGAGTAATCATATTTATGTTGTGAACCAACCACCGTATTGTGATGGTGTCTCTGAGCAGTCTAACCCCTATCGTTTGACAGTATTTATCACATTTGGAGTTTTTAAGTTTAAGAACAGAATACTGGATATTCGTAGAGAAACAATAATTATTAGGTAAATAATGATAAAATGATGTGTTCTTATAAATGTTACAAGATCCCTTGAACTTGTGATATACGACGATTGACGATAAAAAAAATTGACCTGTGTGAGGTGTGCACTTTGTGTGTGCAAGTTACTGAGGTGCGCATATTTCTGCAGCAAACGTTCGATCACTCTCAATAAAATATAATAATATTACTTATATCTGTCGATTAGTGCATTCAAATTTGTACACTATGTGAATAATATTGTTAAGTATTTCCGTGAGGCAAATGTGGACATGTGGTGGATAACTACATATATTATATAATTTTATATTAAGTAACACGTGATGTTGTACTCGAAATTCGAGTTAATGAGTAATTTATCCAATCAGATTTACCGAGAGAATATACAAACAATCATAAAATGTAATAAAATTATTGGTATCGAAGGTTTATTATATGGATTACGATTGCAAATACGAGGTATAATATATAGGATAACATGTTATAGATTAAATTTAAATAATCTAAAATGTTTAACAATTGAAACTTACCGACTATAGTGACATATATTTGCCTGTACACACCCTTCTTGGACATTTTGTTTGATTTTTTTTGTTTATCTGCACTATAAGATTTGATTTTATCTATAAACAAACAATAAGCGTAAAAAAATGTACAAATAGGTTTTTATTGCTCATTTATGATATGATTTATTGCATATGGCAACAATAAATCATTTTGTATTGTGATTGATGGCCACCACACAATTTTCAATAATATATTATTGTGAATAGGATTAAGTTTAATCGGCTTCAATTGTAAAATTCACTACAATTGTTATTATCATGTTTTCCTCAGACACACGTATAATATCAATTAATATGCAATATAATTTAATATAATCTTATAACATATTATATAAAAATCTCGTGTCACAATTGATGTCAAAAACCGCAGCCGCACTTGTCCGTGCGTCTACAAGACATCGTGCAATATTTGATTATTTTTTAATTTTTCCAATAACTACGAAATCGGCTCAATTCGTATAATATTATATAGGTGCATTATCGGATGTGAATAAGTTACTCTCATTGGAATGAGAATAACAGCTACCTAGTAATATTTTGTCAAATAATATTATTAGGTATAATAGTTACACTGCGTTGATTTATCATATATATTCAAATTTAACACAATATACATATAGTATAGTATTATATATTACATTTATCTACTCATGTCTCATTGGCATATATGGGATTTTTTTTAGAAAGACAATCGACGATCAATACTACAAATATAGGTATGGTTGATTAAACATTAAATAAATGATTATTTATCCTTTAAATATTATCAAATAAACCTACACGTATTATAGTATAGCTAGATACTGTAGTAAGTTATATCTTGTTAAAATTTTTGCAAAAATCCTAATATGTATACAGACGTATACTATTTCGTTTTGAAATTAATATATAAAGGCAGTATGTAGAAGGTTTTTTTAATTTAAAAAAGGTGTTCTGCTGTACGGTAGGTTACGAGTGGGTCACTGTATAATGTATGGTATTAAATTTGAATTCAATGATATAATATCATCGGATAAGAAAAACGATTCTGAGCGGAGACGGTATGTCAGTCTAGGTATAAGACATCTTATATAATTATCTATGGTATTAAAAAAAAATTGACCTATAATTGGTACCTATAATAAATTCCAAATTTATCATATCACAATATCCATTAGGTACTTATAACGCGTAATACATCAACAAACCCTGATACTATCTGACTATCATAGCTATATAATAGTGTACTTTAGAAGTTTCAAGTATACCCAAGAATAATATTATACAATCACAACAAAATAACTAAAATAGTTGTTCTACGTTTTAGATTCTGATTGAAACGATGAATGTATTGATTTTACAATGATGTGTGTTTTTTTTTAAATTTTTAAATTATTTTATTTTTGTGTCTGTCATCACGATTTGGGGCAGTAAAACTGCTTCTATTTTCTTCAACAGTACCTTGTTCGATGGGAAAGTGAATCTAGTTGGTGCTTCAGGAGGTCAAATTTTAAAATTCCCAATAGTTTTCATAAGCGCCGGGAAAAATAACATAAAAATTAAGGAAACACGGGCATTTTTATTCAAAATCCATACAATTTTATTTGTTGGTTAAAAATGCTTGAACATTTAATAGAAGGCTCTTAGTATGTTGTTACAATATCAGTTGAAAAATATTTAAAATACATAAGCACAATTTTTTTTATAAGTATTTAAAGATCGAATTTTGACAAAATTTATCAAATTTAAAATTTAATAATTATTTTGTAGTTAATAATTTATAAAGTGTTCAACTTTTATACCTAAGGATTCAAAATTTAAAACAAGATTAAACGTAAGTAGTTAATTCTGTTACCAAAAAATATAAAAATATAGGCACAGTTTATTTTTATAGTCATTTTAAGTCAAATTTGGACGAAATTACATAATAAAAAACCTACAATAACTATTTTAGTTATTTTAATGTGACTGTATAATATCATTCGTGGGTACTTGAAACTTCTAAAGTACCCTATTATATATCTATGATAGTATCAGGGTTTGTTGTTGATGTATAACGCGTTATAAGTACCTAATGGATATTGTGATATGATTAATTTGGAATTTATTATAGGTACCAATTATAGGTCAATTTTTTTTAATAGCATAGATAAGTATATAATATGTCTTATACCTAAACTGACATATTATCGTCTCCGCTGAGAATCGTTTTTCTTATACAATAATATTATATCATTGAATTCAAATTGAATACCAACCATAATACAGTGACCCACTTGTAAAGTACTGTACAGCAGAGCACCTTTTTTTTATAATGTAATTTCGTCCAAATTTGAACTTAAAATGACTTTAAAAATAAACTGTGTTTATGTATTATTTATATTTTTTGGTAACAGAATTAACTACTTCCGTAAAATCTCGTTTCAAATTTTCAATCCTTTGATATGAAAGTTGAACATTTTATACATTTTTTACTACAAAATAATTATTCAATTTTAAATCTGATTAATTTTATCAAAATTCGATTTTTAAATGCTTATTAAAAAAAATTGAACTTATGTATTTTAAATATTTTTCAATTGATATTGTAACAATATATCAGGAGGTTTGGCCCAACAGATAAAACTTTATGGATATTTATATAAAAAAAAAACTATTAAAATGGAAAAATGAAAATGTCCGTAAACAGCTCAAAAAGAATCAAAATATTTTCAAAATTGTTTGGTTTATAGGAAATGCTAATATAAACATTCAAGGAAATTTTCATGTGTCTACAGTAATTCGTTTTTGAATTACAACAAAATAAGGAAATCGCTACATGAGAAATCGAGTGAATATCCAATGTTGTAAAAATTAGAATTTAAAACGCTCATAAAAATTTAATTTGACTTTCTTATAGACATTTTTTTTTTTGATAAAGGTAGATTATATTATAAGGAATCTTGTATTACATTTTAAAATTTTAGATTTAAAAAGAAAAATTTTCACGAATTCTTAACTCAAAATAATTTGTTAATTTTCGTGATTTTTCCATATTTTGTCAAGATTTGAACTTTAAATGCTTATAAAAAAAACTGTGACTAAGGATTTTTAATATTTTCATCTGCCTTTGAAAAAATATACTAGGAGCCTTCTATTAAATTTTCAAGCATTTGCAACCAACAAATACAATTTTATTGATATTTTTAGAGAAAAAACTAATAAAATTGGAGACTGAAAATGTCCCTAAACAGTTCAAAATAAATAAAAATATTTTGAAAATGTTATCGTGTATAGAAAATGCAAATATAAACAACCATTGAAAATTCATTTGTTTTAGAGTTGCACCTAAAACCAAAATCGATTTTGTGGAAAACCGATTTTGAGTAAATATTCCCGTGTTTCCTTAATTTTTATGTTGTTTTTCCCGGCGCTTGAAAAAACTATTTCGAATTCTAAAATTTGACCTACTGAATACATCAACTAGATTCACTTTCCAATCGATAAGGATACTGTTGAAGAAAGTCGAGGCAGTTTTACTGCCCCAAACCATAATAACAGACACAAAAAAAACACACAATCATTATAAAATCATTACATTCATCGTTCCACTCATAATCTAAAACACACATCATTGTAAAATCATTACATTCATCGTTCCACTCATAATCTAAAATATTGAATAAAATAAAAATATAGTTAAAAAAGATTTGTTGTATAATACATAAAGCACTTAAGTGGATCAGAAATGGTGATCTTTCTTCTTTGTCTAGCACACGAGCAATATAGGAAATTATAAAAGTGTCTTCATTCCAACGTATACATACCAATTAGGTTAGGATGGATCTAGTCAAGCGATGAGAATTCTGAAAACCGGTTTTGAATTGTTGAAAACTTTTCATGAGATAAACTTTCATTCATTTTTAATTTTAACTTCTCTAAGTATTGAAGTATGATAAATTGTTTATTTCTACTTTTTTCATATACTTTTTTAGAATGAACTAGGATAAAATCGAAAATTTAGTAGAATCAATCTCAAGTAGAGTTGACAACAAATTCAAATTGTTTTCTAAGAATTTCTGTTCAAATCTTCATGTAGTATTCGTATATCAATATAAGCAGTCAAATATTAAAAATTACCGCTTTTAACCACCGTAATATCGGTTTAAATTATTTAAATAGGTTAAAAAAACCGTTTTTATAGAATTTTACACTTAATATTCATCTTTAGAAGTAATATATTTGGTAAATACTCACGACATATATCTTGCAATCATATCCAAACTGGTTTTTCTTATGAATGGTCTGAATATTTAATGCACATATAGAACGATGATCGGTATTTTAACAATAAAATTATTATTATTCACTTAAACGTGTCAATTCAATTTGCCTGTATAATATGTTACTTGTAAAAACGTGTCAGCAGAATACACATTTTCATATAGAGCCGTTTTATTAAAAAAAAAAAAAAAATAGCAAAACGTCTATGTTAACATATTATTTTGTTTCCCTGTAGGTATATACGTATCATGCACGACTGCACATATTATTATATTATTATATATCATACACGTGGATTGAAGCTTAATGATATTCGTATCGCCGAGTTCCAGCTTTCGATTACGATTACACTAAACAATTTTTTGCTGATTTTTAACACGTCATGTACAAAAATTAATTCAACAATATTATAAACACAAATATATATAACATATAGTATTAGGGTGAAAATGATGATACCATATTCTATTCAGAATAAGACGACACCAGGTGGCCACTGCCAAAACCGGTTTTGTTACTTAAATCTGGTGTGCTCTTATTCTGAATAGACTACAGTATGATACTATGACCGTCGTGCAGTACATTTTATACGAGTGAGTATATTAAGTACTCATAATATTAAGAGCAATTTACGAATAGAAGGTACACGTAGATACCGCCAGCCACTAAGTCAACAATAATATTACTAAACTAATAATCCATTAATGCGGTAGGTACCTTTTTACCACACTTAATATATTATAATGTTGCTATCATTGTTATTATTAT